TCAACCAGGAAGCTGCGAATTCTGAGAGGTTTGTTGGATATTTTATTGTTTCTAAGATACCTCACCACGCGCATGCCAAGTACGAAACTGAGACAAAGATTGTGTTGGCGGCTGCAGATTTAACTTTCTAGGGGATAACACAGTTACCCCTCTTTTTCTTTGTGAATCCCTTTCTTTACCGACTCGTTCCTGCGAAGAGAACATGTCCAATGATGTCCGTTCATACCGTCAGTAAGATTGTTTTATCTTATAGAGCGGCCAAAGCTGATGCAAGAACAGCCATAGGAGCACATGCTACTGAAATGGAGACAACGTCATTTCGATAGATTTCTACCCCTAATAGGAAACCCTTTTCTAGTCCCTGTTGGACTCCAGCAACTCCTGAAGCAACTTTCCGTTAGATCCCCGAAACAGAGATTCTTGTTACTTACAATGCTGCGATGGACGAGGTTGTCAGAAATATTCCTCGCAAGCGACAGCCACTACCATCACAGCTTGTCTCGTGGGAAGAAAGCAGTCCAGCCCAGAGACAGTTCTACATCGAGAAAGCGGTTGAAGACTGTATGCTCGTATGTAATGCGATAGCCCCAAATGACGGCAAGACGCTCTTTCACGCCTTGTCTTCTCCAGGTGGAGAAAAGAATGAGACAGCAGAAGCCGATGATTTGTTGAAATCTTTGATGACCGCTTACAAAAACGCCAAAACCAAAAGTATCAAGACACAAATTCTTACGCGTATAAGTACTCGGTTAGCACATTAAAATAACTTCACTCGCCATATGGAAAGTTGTCTATACGACAGATACAGAGAGCGCGGTGTCATGCAAGAACGATAGGTCCCGGTCAAGTGCCTGAGGAGAATGTACATCATCGTGTTCGCATTGATATGACCAAAGTCGATCATTTCGTTGAGTTCATTAATCGCCCATACTTTTATCAAGACGTGTCTTATATACGGAACTAAATTCCTTAAGCTAGACAGTGGCGAAACCATCGAGATGCCGAACGTGGTGCGTACCGTGACGCGGTCTACGATGATTAGCCAGTACATACAGTTTTGTCAGGAGGAGAAGTTTGAACCTCTCAGTCGCACCACTTTATTCAAAATCCTAGAAGTCAGACAAGCTTCACGGAGAAAGTCGTGACAAGGCCTCGACAATACTGCTGCCGATGGCTCTGCTGGTTTCCAGAAAATTGAAATGATTGTCGATGATCTAGAGAAAGGAGGAATGAATAGGCAATGGTGCGCTGAGGTTAAGGAAAGGCTTCAGAGTGAAAAACGCTACTTAAAGACCAATTATCGCGTTCACTGCAATCCAGAGGAAGCTTTATGTCCTGATCAATGCCGCAAGTTCGCTTTAAGTGACGAACAAGATCCCGACTTCCAGGAGAAATACTCCCATCAAAACACAGAAAACTGCAACGAGTGTCAAAATCTGCGAAATGCCTTAGATGAAGTCGAAGACAAAGTTCGAGGTCCATTTTGGATCCCTTACGGCAGTGGACATCAGGACGATCTGCTATACGACTTCAAACTGGCACAGATATTTTTGAGTGGAAGGCTCATATAGTTCGCTCTGTAAACCAGGAAGCAGCAAAGCAAGATCAGCTAAAGATGATAAGTACTAATCAGAACTGTGCACTGGTAATAATGGACTGGGCAATGAAGTTCCTTCATCTTAAATATCGTGAGAAGCAGTCAGATTGATTTGGCAAGAGAGGATCGAGTTGGCATATCTCGATGGTGATCACACGTGATCCGAGCCTTGAAGGAAGACTAGAACTGCGGTCGTATGCCCATCTGTTTGACGCATGCCAGCAGGACTGGTTCGCCGTGTGTTCCATCATAGAAAGCACACTGAGAGAAATTAAGACCGAAAAGCCTCACATCACCCGGGTTTATCTGCGGTCAGATGAAGCTGGCTGTTATCATAATAACTCCCTCATTGCAGCAGCAAGAGGAATTGGTAAGCGGGCTGGTTTAGAAGTTTGTCGGTACGACTTTTCAGAGCCACAATATGGCAAGGATGTATGTGATAGAATTCTGTGTCCGATGAAAACATGCATCCGACGTTTCTGCAAAGAAGGACACGACATTCTATCAGCGGGAGACATGAGGAGGGCACTTTCTGAAAGACCAGTGAAAGGTACATCCGCATGCGTTTGCGAAGTTGACGAGGCGAAGATAACCTAAGAAGTGAACAAGATAGATGGTTTAGCAAGCTTCACAATGTCCAGTTTGAGGAGAAAGGTATTCGTGTGTGGAGGTCGTACCGAATAGGGCGTGGCAAGGAAATCTCTTTTGACCAGCTGGTGTTAAAGGGCCAAGGGGACACTGGTATCGTTGTTAGTGAAAAATTTTTCCCTCTTCATGATGCACGTGTTTATCAATGCTCAGATCCTGTGACAGAGAGTTCAGAAGAAGAGAATGACTGGGGCAATTCGAATATAAGCATGTTTGAATGTTCCGAGCCTGGATGCGTGAAGAGTTTCCAAACATTTTCAGAGCTCGGGTCACATTTGGACGTAGGGGATCATTGCGTCAAAGATGAAAGGCCGTCAGAAACGCTATATGACAAGCTTCGAAGAGAATGGGCAGACAGATTCACTACGTCAGTCAACGTCACTGAAAATGAACCGTCTGAACCTAATATCCGCCAAAGTGAAAATGTCTCAATAACCGCGTTGCACACTGTCATTATGGGCTGGGCCCCACACAGGCCACGAGTAGGATCCATTAGATTAACTGACAAAGTTAAGAAATATCTAACTGCAAAGTTTGACAAAGGGGAACAATCAGGACTAAAAGCTGACCCTCAGAAAGTCTCAAATGATATGCGCAAGACAAGAGATGAGCAGAATAGGAGGTTGTTTAAACGAGACGAGTGGTTGACTAAGAGCCAAGTACAGGGTTTCTTTTCTCGCATTGCAGCAAGCAGAAGAAGGCAACAACCACACTCAGAAATCGAGCACAATCCAAAGGAACTATTTCTAGAGGAAAAAGAAGCTGAAAGACAACAGCTAATGGCGCACATTTCTAACGAACTGAGGCCGCAACACCCTCTGTCTTACGACGCCTTTAACTTGTGCGAGTGTGCGAGGGATAATAAGCTGAGTCTTTTTAATGTTTCACTGCTTAAAGAAATCTTGCGCTTTTTTGAAGTACCATTTAAATCAAGAGACAGGAAAACAGACCTGATTGAACAACTGATGTCCTTTATACAAGAAGGTGAAACATCAACATATCATGATATAAATGCCGAGCTAAATATTTCTTTAATTTGAGTTCAACCTCATTATAGTTTATTCTATGGCTAATTATCGACCCCATCTTAGTAACTTTTGGTAATACGCGCTGGTAACGACCTTCTAACTGCGAACTTTCCGTCATTTAATCCCTACCTTCAAAGTAGGCTTAGAATTTTCTTACACCCGAAATTTCGAAAATGTTAATTAACTCTGTTTAAAATGCTACAGTCCATAGTCAATTTGGTCGTGAAAATGCCACTCTATCCAGCGGCACATCCGTCTTCGTTTAAACTTTAATTCAATTCAGTGAGCTGTTCATAAAGATTTTTTCACGAGCGTTGCAAAATAGTTGAAGGATAAAAATCACAATAGCCTCTATTTTGCACGAAAATATGTACAGATATTTGTCCTTGGACATTGTCTGTCCCTCGATGGTCTCAGTTTTGGCATCTTGGAACAGACAATGTCCGCTGACAAATATCCTCAATTATTTTCGCGCCAAATTGGAGCAATAGTTTATAGAGCGCTGTATGGTGATGTAAAATTCAGTAGAGGGAAGCTCAGTTCTATTCAGGGGTTCATATTGTTGTGATGCGCTGCACAGTTACTGCATTTTACGGATTTACAGTGCTACTCAGGCGCATAATGTTGTATTGTGCTGTATTATGATAAAAGCTGCAGTAGAGGGATGTATATTGCTATTTAAGGGAGGGGGAGAAGGGCATATAGACGTACGTATTCGAGGAGTTTATTATACAACGTAAGGAGACATGGAGTCGAATAACCGACGGAACGTGTTTGCTCATAATGAATCTCTCGGGCTGTTATCGACTACCTCTTAGGAAGCATTACAATAACTTAACCTTTCTTAATAATTGTTTAGTCAAAACTCTTTTTCAAGGTCCTCTCTGCGTCTACATCCAAGATGGCGGCTATCGACTCGGAGAAGTCTGTGGATTGGCCTGCTGCCATCTTGGATTCGCGATGTAGGTGGACCCTGGGCGAGAGTTTGATCCATTCCCAATCAGATGATAGAAAGAAGCCTTAATTTGGACATTGAAGGACTCGTTTCCAACAAAATGCATCGATTATGTCGCAGAGACTTGGAGGGAGCTCTTTCGTTTTATAGCTGCTACTGTGATGAGAGGACTGAGGAGAGCAAACACTGGCAAGTGAGACTTAAAAGTGAGAGACCCTGTGGACTGGGAATGAGTCGAAAGGAAAACTGAGATTTTACCAGAAATGATGCTAAGAGGACACCATCCTAAAGTGAACAAAATAAGCATAATAACAACTACTCTGGGGGAGTAAGGAGGTATATGAGTTGTAAGAGACCTGACGTTGCGCGAGGATTGAGACGAATGAAAACTTAAACAGACAAGGAGATAGTCGCGTCTAATGAAGCGCGTAGAAGAATAAAGTTGAGGGCGATGAAAGAAGTGCGCGTAAAAATGGGAATAAAGGAAAAGTACGATGAAAAAAAGGGAAGGAACCAAAGGAAGGAGAAAAAAGAGATGCGCAAATGTGAAAAGGTGTAAAAACTTGTGTGAGGATAAAGGTAAAAAGGGCGCACACAGGTAACAGTATGAACACGTCCGTCGGCATTCAAAATCGTGTGACAATATGGAGAACGGTAGACAGTGAAAGAGACACAATCGAAGAGGTGGCGAGCGTTTGTTAAGTGGGTGGGGGCTTGAAACATGGAATGTCAGTACACTGTCAGCTGCAAAGATTATCAACTTGACGGGTCAAAATAAGCATTGAAGTCCCCATAGGATCTGTTCTCTCTACATCTCACGTGAATCCCTAGAATATGGAGACAGACAATGAAAATCAACGCAGTTTTGTATTTTATACACTCTCTATTTCTCTTACACAAAAAAGTAAAAAAAAGTACAATACAAACTGCAATAAATTGTTCAAGGCATTAAGTAAAGTACGCGCTAAACGGAGACACTAAAATGAACCCATTTATTCCCAAGACTGATCATAACTTAAATTCTCCTCACAAAATTAATGCACCGACAAACATGGTGTCAATAAGAATTAGAGAAAATCTAAACTAGCGGATTATTTTTCACTAGAAACGTTATGTTTCATCGAATTCTCAGAATGAAGCAACAAAGAAACACTTTCTTATCAGTTGGGAGAATTTTTCTTCAGAACTTGGGAGTTAATGAGTTAATGAATAAAAACTAAGGTAAATGGACAAATAGCTTCAACTTTAAATACAAATAGCATCAAAACAATTCACACGAAATACACTGACATTATAAAAAGCATATTTAGTTAAAACTGTCCCAGCTTGTTGTTAAAATCCTACGTTACATCATATTCAACCGTGTGCGAGGTTAACTATTACATTTTATACCAGCATATACCAATGGTAGTTATGAAAACCTGCCAAAAATTAAGATTGATTTTACAAAAATTTCTTTTAAAACAGCCGTGATACATTATACCTTAAACTTTTGACCACATAACGGGTTCTAATCACAAAGCGTGCTCGGAATACCTAAGTATAAATTCTTAAATCTAAGAAAGATATCATCCGACATCTTCAAATTATACTAAGGTAAATTTAAAGCCATGAAAAAAATTTGAACTGGAAATTTTCAAAAAAATGCAAGTTTTATCCTGAAGCCGTCAACCTTTTTACTGCGGACTACATTTACATTTATTCATAAACATTTTCACCAGAATAATTCCCATCGAGGACTACATGGCTTACTTCAACTGTTTCCCTAATTTATTAGCGTAAACATTTTCCTACTAGAAACAACAAATTCCATGTCACATACATTAAAAGTCACAGCTATGGAAACTTCAGTTAAAGTAAACTCTGCTTCGCTATTTCCTTGTTTAGATTACATGGACAATTTGTCTGTCGTGGTTTTTTAAAACAAACAGATGAGTGTTTGATAAAACGGACTAAAATTCATCAAACTCGTTTGATTGAAAGCAGGCCGTTGTAGTCAGCTCTTTGACTTGTTGTAGGCCTTTTTCCTGGGAAATTTCAATTTTTGTTTCAACATTTGTAAGAGTCATATTAGAAAAGTCAAGTGGGCGGAAAACAATTGTAGGCCGGGCCCACGGGACTAGAGGCTGGCCACACCCCTGAGAGTAGGTCTAATGTCTCTAACATATGGTCAGTAAATTCAACAACATCATCTCTGATGATTACTTCTTCAAATTAAGCTTAGAATGGCAATCTTGGCACTGATGGAATTAGATTGCATTAAAATGAATTGAAAAAAAGTTGAAAATGATAATCAATTTTTTTGTAAAGATAATTGCAAATTGCAACAAAGTAATTTATGACGTAGAAAAACCATTAAGATCAATTCACATATGGCTGCGAATTTTGCAAATCACATCTTTAAAATTAAAATTTCGCCACCTTTTGCAAATGACAAACTGTTTCTTTGCTTATCAAAAGCTTAGAGTATCAACGTAATTAAAACCCGGTGGACAAGCTCCTGGTTGTGTACAAGAAAAAAACCTTTAAATTATTTTACACACAACTGATTGCAATAAAGGAATAGATCTGAGTGTCATTTTGGCGAAACGAAAACCTCGTAGTCGCCTTCAACAACTTCAGGCATTAACAACAGAAGCCTTGTTGCATCTTGTTCTCTTCGCAAGCATCTAAATTTGTAAAGGTAAAAAAATAGCAATTCCATTGAACAAAATATACTGAAATAGTCTGTTTTATTTCTTCATCAAAGTAAAGTCACACATCTCAAGTTCCATTTAACAAAAAAGTGAAAAGTAATGAAAAATAGCCAAAAAGCGCCAAAATAGAGAAGCATTTAAACCTTCCAAGTTCCTGCGTCATTCATTTTGAGATGAAATAAAAAGTTTTCATTTATGTGATTTCATATTTAAATTTTCTCTTTCCTTTGCCATGAAGTCAAGAGTGACGTCATCTCCAATCAGCAAAAAGGGCGCCCAGTGTTTGATGTCGCAGAACTTGTCTGATTCTCTGAGGCTTTTCATGGCCAGGTTCAGTGACTCGCTTGCTCGTTTACCTCCTGCAAGTTGTTGATAAAAGTATTTCATGAACTCAAGAGTAGCCTCGTCTTCAATCGCCCACAGGGACACCACAACAGACCGAGCACCAGCCCCCATAAAAGCGCGCGCAATGCCAACCACACCTTCAGCCTTGATTTCGCCCTGGCCGCTGTGGCAGCAACTAAGCACAACAAGTTTGGCCCGAAGTTGAGCATTCAGCACATCTCCAGTTGTTAAAATGTAATCCTCCTCCGTTGGCACAGTAGATATTCGGTCTGGGTCAGGTGTAAGAGCAATTTCGCCAGTTTCCATACATCCGTGTGCCGCAAAGTGAACTAAGGAAACGGAACTGAGTCTTTTCAACACCTCACGTTTCGTGGCCTGACTGCCAGTGATTGGCGTGATATTCAGAATTTTTCCGATCATTTCTACTTCTTCTTTAGCACACGGAAGCTGCTCGAGGACTTTCTCTCCCTCGCTGTTAGTAACCTCGGCTACCCACGGATCTCCTACAAGCAACGCGCCACTGCTTTTGTGATAATCATCTGGGCAATCGGCGATGAGTCTAAGACTTGTTAACGATGGAGCGAGTCGGATTGTGAACGATTCACACAGGTAATTAGAATTACCATTCTTCAATGCAGCGTAAGGAGCGAGCCACAGGGGTCCATCGGGAATAATGACTAGCTCATCCCCTTGAACCAGGTCAGCCACTGGCTTCATGACGGTATCATACAAAGTGCTCAAGCATTCTTTTTGTTGGATGGGAGGTCGAGGGCTGTCTTCTTTAGTTTCCTCGTCCACTTTTGAACGGCTCCCCCTCAAAGCATCCAAAGATCGATTCTCGCATCTCACATTAGAACGAACACCAAGTTGTGTATAGACACCGAGAATGAACGACTCAAAGGACTGGCTAGCTCTATTATTCTCTGAAAAAAAACCTTTGAGTTTACTTTGTCTTAACTGAACTTGTTTTCCTTCGGAAACAACCCAAAGATTGACGTTAGCTTTGTCCACTGCCTGAAAGACAGTGTTTGATGGAACGTTTTTTAAAACTGCGCAATCTTCATCTTCTCCCTTGTGGTGACTTGTTCCACCACAAAAACTGGATTCCATGAGGTCGGTCAGAGCTTGAGCTCGTCCTTTCTCAGCAACAAATAAGGCTTCATCTACATTACCTTGTTCTACGAGAACTCTCCACAAACCCGTATACGCCATTTGATGCTGATTTCGAAAATTAACTTTCCACTCATCTTTAGATTTTAGAAGTGCTCTCAAAGAATTGAATAAGTTTATGCTAGCTTGGTAATGTTCAACGGCTTTTGGCAGTCCACCTTGCAACTCAAAAACGCATCCTAATGAACAGTAGGCCATTGCCTCAAAGGATTTGTCTCCTCCTTCTTTAGCTATTTTAAGATTTAGGTTGTGGTACTCTATGGCTTTTTTGAAATCACCCAGACTCTGATAAGCATTGCCAAGATTGCCATAAGCACCACCCTCCCCATGCTTGTCTCCTACTTCTTTAGCTATTTTAAGATGTAGGTTGTGGTACTCTATGGCTTTTTTGAAATCACCCAGACTCTGATAAGCATTGCCAAGATTGCCATAAGCGTTACCCTCCCCATGCTTGTCTCCTACTTCTTTAGCTATTTTAAGATGTAGGTTGTGGTACTCTATGGCTTTTTTTAAATCACCCAGACGGTGATAAGCATTGCCAAGATTGCCATAAGCAAGATTGCCATAAGCAGCACCCTCCCCATGCTTGTCTCCTACTTCTTTAGCTATTTTAAGATGTAGGTTGTGGTACTCTATGGCTTTTTTGAAATCACCCAGACTGTGATAAGCATTGCCAAGATTGCCATAAGCGTTACCCTCCCCATGCTTGTCTCCTACTTCTTTAGCTATTTTAAGATGTAGGTTGTGGTACTCTATGGCTTTTTTGAAATCACCCAGACGGTGATAAGCATTGCCAAGATTGCCATAAGCACCACCCTCCCCATGCTTGTCTCCTACTTCTTTAGCTATTTTAAGATGTAGGTTGTGGTACTCTATGGCTTTTTTGAAATCACCCAGACGGTGATAAGCATTGCCAAGATTGCCATAAGCACCACCCTCCCCATGCTTGTCTCCTACTTCTTTAGCTATTTTAAGATGTAGGTTGTGGTACTCTATGGCTTTTTTGAAATCACCCAGACGGCGATAAGCATTGCCAAGATTGCCATAAGCGTTACCCTCCCCATGCTTGTCTCCTACTTCTTTAGCTATTTTAAGATGTAGGTTGTGGTACTCTATGGCTTTTTTGAAATCACCCAGACGGTGATAAGCATTGCCAAGATTGCCATAAGTGACACCCTCCCCATGCTTGTCTCCTACTTCTTTAGCTATTTTAAGATGTAGGTTGTGGTACTCTATGGCTTTTTTGAAATCACCCAGACAGTGATAATTATTGCCAAGATTGCCATAAGCACCACCCTCCCCATGCTTGTCTCCTACTTCTTTAGCTATTTTAAGATGTAGGTTGTGGTACTCTATGGCTTTTTTGAAATCACCCAGACTCTGATAAGCATTGCCAAGATTGCCATAAGCGTTACCCTCCCCATGCTTGTCTCCTACTTCTTTAGCTATTTTAAGATGTAGGTTGTGGTACTCTATGGCTTTTTTGAAATCACCCAGACTGTCATAAGCATTGCCAAGATTGCCATAAGCGTTACCCTCCCCATGCTTGTCTCCTACTTCTTTAGCTATTTTAAGATGTAGGTTGTGGTACTCTATGGCTTTTTTGAAATCACCCAGACGGTGATAAGCATTGCCAAGATTGCCATAAGCACCACCCTCCCCATGCTTGTCTCCTACTTCTTTAGCTATTTTAAGATGTAGGTTGTGGTACTCTATGGCTTTTTTGAAATCACCCAGACGGTGATAAGCATTGCCAAGATTGCCATAAGCACCACCCTCCCCATGCTTGTCTCCTACTTCTTTAGCTATTTTAAGATGTAGGTTGTGGTACTCTATGGCTTTTTTGAAATCACCCAGACGGTGATAAGCATTGCCAAGATTGCCATAAGCGTTACCCTCCCCATGCTTGTCTCCTACTTCTTTAGCTTTTTTAAGATATAGGTTGAGGTACTCTATGGCTTCTTCTCCCCGATTATAGAGATCTATGACTTTCTTGACATCACCTGAACTTGCACTACCGTGGTCATGACTAATAGGATCTTTTTCCTCCATGGACTTATCTCCCACTTCACTGACAGACTGAAGTCTTAATGACAACAAGATCCTATTGTTTTTGTCAATCTTTTTTATGTTAAGGGTTAAAAATGTGGAAAAAACAAAAAAGATTATGTTTCTGATCATATTGATATGTAATAGTCCATTTTAACATTTGCGTGCTTGGTTCCCAAGCCTCTGAACAAGAGGGATGATAAAGGGTGACCTTGTTATGATAAAAACATTGCTGCTTTTTAAATGCAAACTACTTTGTTATTATCGTTTCTAGATACTGGTCTCTATCACAACAAGGTCACCTTCAGCCTCACTCCAAATCAAAGGCTTGGCAACTAAGTACACAACTATAAAATGGCCCATTAGGAGGGCTTTGCATGAAAGGTAGATGATTTATCAACATTCAGTCTTAAAGTCAGTTATGAAGTAAATCTACACTTCAAAAAATGTTTTTTCTGTGTGCAGCCTCAAAATTTAACGCGAAATATCTAGATTTAATCCCTAGTTTCCAAAAACTGAGCAGCACTTGCTCAATTTTTAAATTAATATAGCTTTAACATCAGACAAATGTTTTACAGCAGTGGAAGAAATGAGTCTACAACACAAATACATGTCTTTAAAATTTTTATTTGTCCATAGGAAAGCACAACGAAAGTTTCCGAGTCTCTAAGTAGTGGAAAAAGGTCGAAGGCAAGAAAATCTGCATAAGATATGTAAACATTACCGAGCTTTTTGTTCTGGCTTGTTTTAGAGAGATCATCTACCCAAGTACTATGTATAAACTGGATGAATATTAGTCTTCTAACCCTTTAACTCCCGTGAGTGACCAAAAGAGAATTTCTCCTTACAATAGCAATACAATATCAATCAGATAAGTGTTGAGAGTAAAAAAAAATATATCAATTTGAAAATAGTTAGTTGATGCAATACTGAATTCTCTGTACTAACATTACAAGAATTGTATGGTTGACAGTAAGGATAATTACAAATTTGGTCTGGGAAATTAAAGGGTTATTTAAACTAATGTACCAGTTATTGGCATGGATAGTAGAACTAAGTCAAATTGGCTAAAAGGAGTAATTTCATTAATAAGTCATGAGGTAATAACTTCTCCTATGTTTTTAATCACACACACTTAAAGTATATGAGCTGACAAGTTCCCATCATAATTAATACCCTTCTTTGTATTTTCTCCCTTGAAACATCAAATTATGGAAACTTTTTCCATTATACCCACGGTTAAAAATGAAAGATTCCTTCAAAGGATACAGCTAGTCCCTTATCACACCAAGTGATTGCTTCTTCAAATCTCTTCAATTCAACACAAGCAGTGGCTCCTGTAGGCAACAACACAAAGAAGCATACTATTACTGTAGCTCAATTCTGAGAAAAGAACCTGAAACCATTGAAATCATTACAGACCAGAAGAAAAAAAAAAAAGACAAAACAAAACAATACAAAAAAACTAAACGGAAAAGAATAAACAGGCCCTATTAGGTTTCAGTTAGATTTATTTAGCTTTACAGACAACTGAAACTTCTAAGAACACTTAAATTGGGATCAACAACTCCCACAAAAACACTAAAAGTTAGGTAAGTCCTGATCCTTCTTTTTAAAACAGCTAGATAGTGACTTAAGAGCGTGTCCACGAGAGCACCGGGCAGTCGTGCTACATGCCATCTCACCGATTTCAATGAAACTTTGTCAGTTTAAAGGGTCTACCCCAAAACTCAAAAAAACAGACTGGTTTCTGTTTTGGTTTTTTCCGGGGGGAGATAGACCACCCCCCGGTTTTTCTTGGTTTTCACCAAGGAAATCGCTTCAAATAGGTAAAATGTATGAAGCTCTCACTGCGATGGTATTTAACCGATTACTCTGAGGGTTTGCACACATATTTTTACATCCTCAGTTAATAGGCGCCGCGAGTATCAGTCAGTTTGATCTACGGCTTGTCAATCAACAGAGGCAAATATACGACTGTGTTTTTAGACTTTTCGATTCATCTAAATATTTTACAACTTTGAGGTCAAATATCTCCCGTTGCCAGAAAGCTACAACACTAATCTTAATTACCCTTTATAACCCATCATTTCATCTCTGAAAATCATCAAAAAAATCTTTGGGCACTACCGTATTTTTGTCTTGGATACCTTTTAAAATCTGCGACTGTGACAAGTTTCTCTCAACTACACCTGTCACGCAATTCTTGCTCTAGGCGGTCACTTGACAAAATAAACCTACATTTTTTAGCTCTTTATACAAGATGATTGGTCAAGAAAGGTGAAAAATGTGAAAAACTTTCGAGATTTTTTGTAGGAATGGAAAATTTCACGTTTAGAGAGATGCATGTTGACGGAAAATCAATGGGAAAATCGTAGCGTTTCTTTCTTCAGTCGTTTATTACTTTGAAGATTTGCTAAAATCAGGACATAGGGCTCTTGTACAGAACAAAACATTCATTAGCCTATACTTTGATCGTCTATTATCATTATCGCACAGTTTACAATAAGGAAACTGTAACAGGAGAGGAGATTTTAAAGTCACATGTCGCCTGCTTGTTGACGTACAAGTTCCCGAGTGTAACAACTTCGGCTTTTCCATACCGCGAATGACGGGAAACTCTGCCCCCCTTATTTGTTAGGAAATATCAATAGCCCCATAAATTCATTAACTACGCCATGTTTCCAGAAAATAAGACTGGAAAATGTTTTTTCCACTTTCCACCATCAAGAAATTCCACGTATAGGAATAGTATTTGTAGGGTCACTGCGTGACCTTTTATGAGAAGTAAAAATTGTTTGTTTTTTTTTTTTCAAGAAGACACTTCTAAAAAGTTCCTAATCCTTCTGTTATCTTATTTTCCTGTTTTTTGACTGCAAATATCATCTGCATTTGCTATTATTTTCGCTGATTGTCATGGCCTTTCCTGCGTGCACGTGCGAGCTAGTTCATATACAGGACTCTTTCGAGTTTCTCTGGCTGGTGTCGGGCTTATGTGTGTAGGTCTGGTTCAAAAGATATCTGCACGCTGCAACACGGGTTCCTATGTTTTCTCCTTTTTCTTTATTTGTTTTTTTTCATTCTCTTGCTTGCATTATCACACATTTATGTTTTTTTATTCCCTCAGCACGTTCCCTCAGATTTGGAAGTAGGCCATGAAAAGTCAATATTGACCAGAACTGAAATCCTTTTCTATCACTATTTGTTTCAGAGAACCCCCGTCATTTGTGACTTTATTTCTCAAGAAAATGTGTTTTTATTTGCTATTTATTTCCATTAGAACATGAAACTAGGTCCTGATAAGTTTTTTTGTCTCGTGACTCCCAAAAACTGTGTTTGCGACAACATCAATTGAGAAATCAAAGGCAATTACGCCTGAGAAATTCGCTTGTAGCCTTCTACCCGCAGAAGGCAACTCCATATAATGAAACGTTCTAAGACCTCTGTAAACTAGAGACATTGGGTGATGTTGAGGAGTGAAATATTTACACTAAATCTGTGACCCTTAAACGGATCACGTACTCGTACATGTAACGTCCGGAAAATGTCACGCATGTATAACACCGTAGGCGCACCTGGCGTATTCTATCCACTGACTTCAATAGTAAAGAGACAACTTATTTACTATTTGTATATGAGCAAGCTTATTTACCCTACTTGAAAAAATCCTTGATGAAGTCTACTATTGTCAGACGAAACGCGTGGGAGATAAATACAAGTTTTTACTTTCTCAGTTCGTGCAGTGATGCTCACTAGTTTGTTCCGTCAAAAATGCTTTTAATGTGAAGTCACGTCGACCTCGACAGAAAAACTAAGCTCACCCTGTCATAATCAATGGTTTGATACCGTAAGTACCAATTTAGGTACATCATTGGGCTTTGATCACAATGATGAAAAAAATGTGCGTTTCCTCACGCTCGCCACGTTTATTCTTTGGAAAATTTTTTACTGGAGGGCGATGTCGCTTAGCTTGGCGCGTCTTGACTCTGGCCGACGAAAATTATCGAGGTGAACTCCATGAAATTCTAGTCAAATGTTTTAAAAACTTTGTCTACCCTTGATTTGCACGCAGAAAAAAAAGGCAAATCCCGAACGGTATTTCAAAACACTTTATTCATTAGTCAATTTATGAACTGTTTCATAGCAGCCCGAGGAAAAAGCAAAATTGAAACAACCGGCGTATCGGTCAAATGAATTCCAATTTTTTCAACAAGGAGTTGGTAAGTTCATTTTTCCAAGTAAATTTAAGTGGGGGTCATTTTTTTGTGACAGCCGATCAAAGATAGACATCTCTGAAATGTCTCTGAAACTCTTTTT